TTGTGTGTAATTTAGTTGAGCATTAGTCTGCAAAAAATGTTTTTCACCAGTGAGTTTAACATTAAGATAGATATAACTACGATATATATATGTATATATATGGCAGTATTTAATGACGCCATTATGAAAGTGTATGTCGTCAGAGTTAACACACTAAATGTCATCAAGTGAATTAATATTCAGCTGTGTGTTGACAGTGTCGATGTGCGACAGCATATTTTGTCATTAGGAAGGTCTGTGTTTGACAGAATGAAAAACATTTATTTATCAGTAAAAGTGAGTTAGTTAGTTAGTTAAAAACAGATTAGTAGAAATATAGTTAACCTAGGTCCAGCGGTTGTTGGAACACATCGGAAAATTTTAAATATTCCCATAGTAAAATTTAGAACAAAACATTTAAGTACTAATAATATTGTGCGTTCAATTAGATCTCATCATTAGGCTAAACTCTAATACACCTACACATCTTTACAAATAAAAATTCAAATATGAACCAATCATGATGTTTTGTTTATAGGATAATACGATGGTGAATATAAATTGTGCAAATAGTCGTAATAGTAGTAATGATAATACAAATAATAATAATAATAGTAATAATAACAATGATTTTATCAATACTAAGGATGAAAGAGTGAGGCCATCTGTGATAACAAGAGTACTGATGACAAACAACATGATTAAACAATCAAACAAATGTCCTGGAAGACGTAGTAGTCGATACAGGCTAATAAAAACAAATGAACCGGTTAAGTAATGCTAGACTGATTGTAAGCGAAGTAAATGAAACACGTTTTTGATGAAGATGTGATAATACCATTAAGAGATGATGAGAAGGGGATGTGGTACCATGAATTACTTTGAAAGCTTTCGTTTTCTCCACTACATGAACACTGTCGACTGAATGTGACAAAATGGAGCTACGGATAATTTTTGTCTGTCCTTTGCCAAACCACATACAGAGCTTGTCCCTGAGTGAGTTTGCAGGTTTAAATGCCACCCTAATTCCTGCTTTATTTAGAATCCTAAGCAGGGTCTCAGATGTCCCCTTTTTATATGGTATAACTGTTTTTTTTCCTTCACGTTCCCCAGTGTAACATAGGGCACCTTCAAGCTAGTGGCTTGAAGTTTCTGTACCAGTGTTTTCTTTTTACAGGATGGGATGGGTAGCCTCATGCCCAACCTTTCCTCTACACCAGCATTATTTCTGGCTTAGATAGGTAAAGTAGTGCGTCGGCCGGGGATTGAACCCCGGACCATGTGCATGGTCGGCGAGCATCCTATCCGCTATACCACCGACGCCGTGATATAACTGCAGATGACTTATTTATTTTTTTATTTTTTTATTTTGGTTACAGCTTGATGCCACACCGTATTTTCAGTACAAGTATGGCATTTTCAGCATGGATATCGGTAGCCCAAATTTTGCAGGCCGACCATAGATATCGAGTGTGCGCCGGCAGGGGCTCGAACCTCGGACCATGTGCATGGTCGGCGAGAGTCCTAACCACTGTGCCACCGACGCACAGTGGTTATGTTACTGTTACTAGTTTCATAATTCTTTTTCTTTTGGCCTTTTTCAATCTTCCAAATGAATTTTAAAGGATAGCTCTGTAGGTTAAAGGACCCAGTTGACCCAATAAGACAAAATAATATAATTTACAAAATACCCTGCAATGACTGTGAGTTAAGTCAACTACATAGGTCAAACTAGTAGGTCAGGGGTAGTCAGATTGTCAGAACATAAGAATTTAGCTAAGGTAAGAATGGTTGACCCAGAGAAGATAAATAATTTAGGAAAAAGCTCAGCAATTGCAATGCATGCATTAGCACACAACCACACAATAGCATGGTGGGAGAGGGTTGCAATTCTAAAATGTAATCAAGGTAGGTGGAGAGAGATGTTGATTACTGAATCCTTGTTCATCGAATCTACACCCAACACATGTAATAGGAATGATTCATCACTTATACCCGAAATATGGAAAATATTACTACCAATCAAATCAAGTGAAAAACAACGGAACTATATAAATGAATTTAGGAAGTCGTGATATGATAGGAAGTCCTTGATATGATTATGAGCAATAAACTGTGCTCGAAACGTCATCAGTAAATATTACTGTATAACACTGTGAGACTTTATCAAAACAAAATTTACCCATAAAGGAATCTAACATGTATACATAACTTTACGAATAAAATTCAAATATTAACCGATCATGGAGTTTTGTGTATAGGATAACAAGATCGTACAGATGAAAAAGTGAGGCAGTGTGGGTTAATACGAACAATGAAAAACAGCATGATTAAACAAGCAAATGTTCAGGTGAACGTAGTAGTCGTAGTAGTAGTAGGCTATGAAAAACAAATGAACTGATTACGTAATGCTAGATTGATTGTAAGGGAAGTGAATGAAACACGTTTTTAATGAAGATGTGATAATACGATTAAGGGATGATGACAAGAGAGAGGTTGAAAATATATGTAAGGTGGGGTAGTGGAGAAGTCATCAGTTGGTTATGTCTTAATAGGCCAACAAGGGAGGGATAATGGCTGTGTACGAACTTCTTCTTTTGAATGCATAGTTTAGGTTTAATATTTCCAATGCATATCGCCTCAGCGGTGTGCAGTAGGCGAATACGAAGTCTATTAGAAAAATTAGGCTAGAGAATGACTTTCCAGTGTGGTGAGAAATGGTTGCTAGCCAAATTGGTTGACAGTAATTGAGGTCAATGTTAGTCATGTGAAAACAGGGTCAAGATGGACAGGCAGATACCGTTAACATATAGATGAACTGACACAGCCACAAAAGATGCAAGGTTAACTTTGTGTGAGAAACAACCAATCAACAGACTGTATTTTCTACTAACAATAATCTGCAATAATGTACATCAAAATCTTTAAATATGTGTTGATTTTCCGTAATAAACGTTCTGTTGTCTGGCCCTTGTTTTCTGTTGTTAAACCAGGAGTATACGAAGAACGTTTTACGCAGCAAGGTTGGTGAAGGCGAATCTTGACTTTCCGATTCTGACTTTAACGTCTTCATCCATGCTGTTCAACTGCCTATTGTTGAAACGATGCTTCCTAGATAAGTGATGGTGATTGGTGCTGATTGTTGTTGTTGCTGTTGGTTGACTGGTTGGTTGGTTATCTTCATCAGCACCGTCTTCTCTGTGTTCACTTGAAGTCCTGTCTTAGTTGCCGGCCTCCTCTACCAGTCTGTTGTTTCCAGCCAGTAGGTCTTCTAGTTTGTGTGACACTAGACCTAAGTCATTCACAAAGTTCAAATCTCCTAGAGTCTTCCTATTGATCTAGGCTATTCCTGTCTTCTCACTCCCAGCACACTATGGCGCATAATCCAGTACACCACAATAAGGAATATCATCAGTGACAGAAGTGGGCAGCCTTAATTTACTCCAGTATTCATTTCAAAGGCTTCGCCGTGGCATTGTCTTACAGCTGTTGAATGTGTCCGATAAAGATTCGTGTAGATTCGATTCCGTTTAAAGATGTAAGCAAAATAGATTTAACAGTACATCTTTGTATCAGATTATCATGAAGGATGTTGAAATGGAAATCTTCATCACTCAAGGGTTAAAAACAGTGACTTTCGGAATTAGGAATATATCCTTACCAGCTCTTTCTTTTTAAGCTCTGATACTAAGCAGGTTAACACATTACTGCAGTTATTACCAGTTCGATTTTGTGGCTGTTAGGTTAATGAGCTGGTGTTCGGCCATGAATAGTGCAAATCTACCTACCGGCTGCCAAGATCTTCAATCCAACGTGAATAATCCCTTCTTACACTTAATACAGTCTAAGAATCTAAGATCATGGAAGGTGGTTACATCATCGTCGACGCACGTCTAATTAATACATCAGTACTTATCTCTTATCTACTTAGCTTAAAACTTTCGAAAAATAATAGTTAAAAATATCTATGAAACAAAAAATAATCGAGCAAAGAATATTCTTTTCTATAAATTCCTCTTCCACACTCTACATTTATATATATGCATGTTTATCTACATAGAATATTCTAGATTAGTAGTCAATAGCAATATTAGCGTATTTTTAAATAATATGGATTTGTAAAGTATGATCAATGTTATTACGGTTCATGAAAGATGCTTAAATAATAATAATAATAAAGATATAACAGCGAATAGAATATCAACTAAAACTAGGGAAATTTCACAAAAATTCTGGATTATTCAAACCTGGATGGCCAAGGTAATGATAATGACTGAAATAACTTCTTTTGAATGCATAAATTAGGCTTGTTAATATGGATTCCAACAGCCAGCCTCAGCAATATTTAGAAGTCGAACTCTTAAAGCAAAATTGAGATTCGTAGGTATGCGGTTAATGACCCTGAAAGCATGATTAACATCAATCTTGTGTTCTGTACCCAAAAGATGAGACAGAATAGCTATGCAAATAGATTTTGTTTGTCCTTTGCTTAACCAGGCAGGGCGATGTTCGAAAATTTGACGCGAAACACGCTTAACTGTACGGCCTATGTAACTGCCTCACTCCACAGGAGCAGTTAAATTGGTATATACACATGTATGAGGCGAAATTAGGCAGTTTGTCTTTTATTACCGAATACAGAAGCGGAGTGGTTTTAAAGATATAGCGTAATTCAGCATCAGGGAATGCTCTTCTTACCGCATTTCTAGGGCGCTGAGTTAGTATCTCACTGGTGTTGTCTCCTAGGAGCTGCATCTGTAAGAACAAGGCCTTTCTTGGAACTTTTGGTAACTTGGGCTGCTTCGGTTTCAAATCCATATTCTTATCAATAAACTTTTCAGGATAACCATTCTCACTTAGCAACCGTTTAATATTGTTTAGTTCCTCGTCAAAACATTCGTCCGAGCAAATCTCTCTTGCTCTGTGGACCAAGCACTTTGTTAGATTGCGTTTGTATATCAAGTTTTTGGTTTTTTATGCATTAATAAATAACCGGCAGTCAGACAACTAATGAAACTTACCAATACAAATTGATAATGCACAAAGCGGCTGAACAGCTCGTATCACTCGCTTTGATTTTCGACTACTTAGATCTATAGAAATTGTAATACCTGTTAGAAAAAATAAAGTGAAAATCGATAGCAAATCAGTAATACAGTTAGTTTCATATTCACATATTTTACATATTCCAAGAAACCTGTGCCTGGAAGAAAGCAAATATTATTAGAGTGTAATTACTAGACATACTGTTAATACCAGACATCTCGTAGAGATTTCTAAGTCCTTCAAAATATTAAATAAACAAAGGATAGCAAATTTACTACGATTTGCCGAAGCTACTGCAATCAAACGATTCAACCCAACCAAACTTATGCATACAGAAAGAGAGTGTGGTTACACGCTCACTCCCTTGGTAACTGAATTTTGATTTTGATTATATTAATTAGTCATCTAATTCAGTGATCTCAACTCATCACTGAACAAATCTTAATCTCATAAAGTGTAACCGCTTTTGTTTTTTGAGTTGCTATGTGAACCTACAAGCTAATACTGTTTCTGTTAATCAATTTTTCTGTTTTCTGTCTAACCCCTCCCCACCCTCTTTTCAACTTTAAAAGAGTATAAATTGATGATGAAATCTTAAACTAAAAAAATGTAATGCTTTCATTCTTTTTTGGATATGTCAGTTTGATCTCTTCTCTACTGCCACTCAAACATTGAAGTATGTTATTATCATTTATATAACCATTGTAATTTCAGGTAGTCTGCAGCTGATGAGAACCTGTGAAATAGAGTGTGATATCATTTCATACTGCAAATTTCGTCTTCCTTTCTTTATCGAAGTCTACCAAGGAAACCAAATGTATGAAATACAGTTTCACTTCGTTCTCAATTACTTCAATAGATCAAGTGTCAATGAAAGGAAGGTGTTCAAAAACAACTGTGAAACAAACTTCATGCATGACTGTGCACATTTTCATCTCACTCATCCTGAGTTAGAATGACGCTACTTCATGAATAAAGGACATGGAGGGCGTAGTTATTAATAATTATTGATATAAGGATAAAACTTGGGCACTGTGATAGAGTATAACTCCATTATGGATAAAACTTTATTTTGATAAAATCACACGGTGTTATACAGTAATATTTACTGATGATAACCACGTTTCGAGCACAAATTATTGCCACTCATAATCATTTCAAGACACTAGTCGCACACCTTTTTTCCTACATTTATACACATGTGTGGAATCGATTAGATATTGGAATAAAAATCAATATGAGATAATGTACATTCAGAATTATTAATATGAATGTTATTGATCAATCACAACCAGGTGGGAAATAAGACGAGTGTTTTTATAGTTACAATAAGTAACTTGTTAGAATGTTGTGATGTGCTTGAATTGAAATAGAATTTTGGGATCATTTATTATCCTCCTCTGATTTGACTGGTGGTAATAATATCTTCCATATTTCCGGTATTTACATTGAGTCATTTCTGTTGCATGTGTTAAGTGTAGATCTCTCGATGAACCAGGATTCAGTAATCAACCTCTCTCGCTCTCCAACTACATAGATTACTTGTTAGAATCTTAGCCCTCTCCCACCCTATTGTGTGGTTGTGTGTTAATGCGTGAAGTGCAATTGCTGAGTTTTTCTCTAAATTATTTATCTTCTTGGGGTCAACCATTCTTACCTTAGTTAAATTCATATGTTCTGACAATTTGACTATCCCCGAACTACTTGTTTGACCTATGTAGTCGACTTAACCTACAGTCATTGCAAGGTATTTTGTAAATTATATTGTTTTTCTTAATTGGGTCCACCGGGTCTTTTAGCCTACAGAACTTGTCTCCATGTGAGTTTGTAGGTTTGAATGCCAGCTTAATTCCTACTTTATTATGAATCCTACGTAAGGTCTTAGATGTCCCCTCCTTATATGGCATAATAGTGTCTTGAAAGGATTATGACTGTCAATAATTTGTCCTCGAAACGTCGTTATCAGTAAATATTACTGCATAACACTGTGTGTGTGGCACAGAGGTTAGGACTCTCGCCAACCATGCACTTGGTCCGGGATACGATCCCCTGCCAACGCACACCTAATATGAATGGTCAGCCTGAAAAATTTTAACTACCGGTATCACATGCTGAAAATTCCATACTTTTACCAAAAATACGGTGCGGAATCAAGCTATAATAGAAAAAAAAGTATCCATAGTGGAGTTATTGCTAATTACTTTATTTATAACTTCGATTCAGTGAATGCTTAGTGATGAAATTATGTCAAAGAGTATTCGATTAAATTATGAACTGAGAGGTCCATTCAACTACTTGAAACAGCACATAACCAGCTGTAATGTGCATCTATTTCATTGAATAAATTTCAACCTAGTCATGGCTATAATTATGAGAACAATTGCCACTGGAGTATTTATCATTTAGGCCAAGCAAAATTTTCCCTACTCCGATTATCTTTTGATATAACGAACTGTAGACTGTCAGACTGGAGTGCTCAGGTTGCTAGGAATCACTGGTTAGAGATTGTTGGTGAAATGTCTCAAAATCATTCTCAGTAGAACATATATATTGGGATTCTGCAAATTCTGAGAATGTTAACGCATCTTTTCATTAGGAACGTTGTTCCTTCAATATTAGGATGCTCGCTAGCCACAAAATTAGGCTGTGTTTGACTCCTAGGCCTATCAAAATAAAATCTTATCCATAATGGAGTTATGCTCTACCACAGTGTCCAAGTTTTATACTTATATCAATCGTTTACGAATTGATAGGAAACCCGGTGTATATGTACTCTACAAAGCTTAGGTATGATTTTAAGACGTTAGACAGCTGGCTTTGTTAAAGTGTCGAATGAAACTAGAAACTGATAGTGGGTAAGAAACTGACACATAAATGCTTTACTGAATGTAATAATTAATATCGTTATTATCATAATCACTATTACTACCATTATTCTTGATTTATTAGGGTAATTGTTAAGTTTTACGTGTGGATTGGGAATGATTTATCACCCATCCAGACCGACCTCTGGAAAATTTTACTACCACCATGGCGAATAGCAAACAATAAAGAAAACTGTAAACCGAAAGTCTAGAAGTTATGTAATTATAATTGATGCTATGATGATGAACAATAACAGATTGTGTTGTAAACTTCGCCATCCAGTAAATAATACTGTTTCACACAGTGTGATAAAGCTGATAAACAAATTAATATGGAATTAAATACTACCACAGTAAGAAAATGCTGCCCACTACAATCACCGGTGATATTCTTAATTCTCGTAGAATTGATTAGGCGTCAAACTGTACACAGGGAGTAAGAAGACAGGAATACGCCGGACAACCGGTAAGAAGAATCTAGAAGATCTGAATTTCGCACGTCGATGATCTATGTTTAATGTCACAGACGTACAAATTCAAAGGCTTGCAAATGAAAACCAACAAACTGGCTGAAGAGGCAGGCCATGAAGACATGACTCTAGGGGAACATAGAGAAAACAGAGGTAATGTAGATAGTCAACCAATAACCAGAGACAATAAACAGCACCAGTCATCATCAAGTGGAGAGATTTAACAGAGATTACTTCAAGGAGGCATCGTTTCAACCACAGGCAGTCGGACAGCATGGATGAAGATGTCAAAGCCGGCCAGAGTGGATCAGAATGGTAAGATACGCCTTCATCATCCAGAAACCAGTTCGGAAAACTTCTGTATCACTCATTCAGCCAGCATAAAGAACAAGATTCGGATTCTGTTCAACACATATGTGAAGTCAGTCAGTCACCCCTTCTATACGGGTCAGAAACTAGTACTGCGTGACTTATGATTTCCAATGAAACCGTTTTGTTCTTCGTTATTACTATTCCTTTGTCTCACACCTATGTTTACTGTCAATATTATGCTTTTCTCCTACTTTCGTCTCTTCCTTTGTGTGCTACATGGAGTGTGGCGACTTGAACTGCCGCACATATGTGTAAAGTTCTATGTCAAAAACCGACCGACCGAGGAAAGGGATTTTCAACAATTTTCAAGCATTTATCGACATCTACTACATTGAAGATCAAATGGCAGGCCAGAAAGAATTAGTAACAATAAACTCTGGTAGTGAACATACCAACGAAGAGCCGATTGCTCAACAAATATGTTTGAGAAAATGAAGATGAATTGATCGATTGCAGGCCATTAATCGAGTGGAATTCATATGGGAACTGACGAGTGGGTATTCAGTGAGAGGATGACATGCAGGAGATCGTGTGGCTAGTTGGTGGTGATGAGAGATTATGGGTAATCGTGGAGCTAGCCAGGGTAGAATACAGCATAGAATCCATGAAAGCGATGTCTTGTTGAAGCTCTACGCTCTATTTGATACCCAAGGGAATAACAATAATAATACAATACATACTACCCCAGTGCCCAAGTTTTACACAAATTAATTTCTCACTCATGAATCAACTGTCATGAATCGAACTGAGGTTGCAAAGCGAGCTTTTTTATTTTTGATTACAGCTTGATTCCACACCGTATTTTCAGTACAAGTATGGCATTTTCAGCATGGATATCGGTAGCCCAAATTTTGAGGCCGACCATAGATATCAGGTGTGCGTCGGCAGGGGGTCGAACCCCGGACCATGTGCATGGTCGGCGAGAGTCCTAACCACTGTGCCACCGACGCTGTTTACTCTTAGTAAATACACAAAGTTTCTATGTAGATTACTAATGATTAAGTATAAGAGTATGCACATAAGACTGCCCCAAACCTTTATGAACTTCATTCAACAGCTTTATATGATGATATGAAAATTCCCCAAATCAAGTGGTCCAGAACAGAAAACCCAACGAAGCCTATGAAATGAAAACAGGAGTAAGAGACAAGGCTGTCTACTATCGCCAAGGATATTCCTGATTGTAGTGGACTGGATTCTGCAACAGACCTGTGGGAAGCGAAAAGACTCTAGAAGACGACCTTGACTTCGTAAACGATTTAGGTCTAGTGTCAAAAGAAAAAAAATCGAAGATCTGTGCGTGAAAATCAACAAGCTGGTAGTAGAAACAGAAAAGACAGGACTTCAAATGAACAAAGA